CCCCCCCCCCCCCCCCCCTACCCCGCTTCCACCGCCTATCCAATTCCATTATTTACAGTTGGCGCATGGAGAAATTGCGCCAGGCATTTTTTGGAAATTCTCCATTTAAGAAATCTAGAAAACAACCAACCGTAAGAAACAATAGAGATGCAATTCATTCAACCCGATCAATGATAAAAACCAACACGAAATTGATTTTTTTGCTCACTTAAGTTAGTCTTTTTTTTGCATACACAACAGACGATATATACATGAAAACGTAGACCACAAAATAAATAACTAAATCATGTACATTTTATCAATGTGCAACAGCCAAAGTAGCAAAGCTTTCAAGTTGGCGGCCGCTTGTTTTCAAATAAGGACAAGAAAGAAGAAGGAAAACATTCTTTCATTTTAGATGTTGTTGTCGGTTCCTTTCATGGGTATACATTTGCAAGAGAGGGAGCTCTTTAAAACGTGGCCGACCGCCATTAGGCTAGAAAACCATGTTGCTTTTTCTTCCTTCTTCATTACGATGTCAATGTAAGTAATGACTATCATTACAAGAAAATAAATATCATCTTTATTACGTATTTTGCCTCACCTTCGATTTCTTTTTTTTTGGAGCGATAAACTCAAACATGTTTATCACAGTTCCTGGGCGAGTTGTCAATGAACTGATAGCTACCTGGTGTGCCAGTATTGAAGGTACGTCTTTATAAAAATAATACCCTACAATACCCACCTTGATATTAAAGTATTCTGCTTGGAAGTGAAGGTGAACTCAAGCATGTTACTGAGGCATGACCCAGAGTCTAATTTGCATATCCACTGGTTTCGGTTTGCGTGTTGTGTATACCAGAGCAAAAGAGCCACTTAGATATAAAAAATACAGTAATTTTTAGCAATTTGTGGGGGTTGCTCGAGGACTCTATTAGAATACAAGAAAACAAGATTATGAGAGGCGGACCAATTTGAGGAGATACAATACTTCCCTTGTCAAAAGAACGGATAATCAAGTAGAATCTGAATTTGGTTAACTGACGTCTGAGCGAAAAGATAGATGGACATTTTTACCATTGCCAAAGTGGAATGAAAATTTCAATGCCTTTTATTATTCAAAGGTACTTTGTCATAGATCAGTTTATCATCACTGAGTTTAGTGTAGCTGCCATTGAAGTTCCATAAAACTTCGTTAAGAACAGGTGAAGAGTACGAACAAACAGGTTTAAAACGATCCGTTGTGTAATGACGAAGATTTTAGGCAGTGTTCGTTCCACCCACGTGCTAGACTGTCTGAGAACGGTAAAAAGAGGCTGCGTGGGAGAGTACCAGCTGCCAGGCAGTTTGAGAAACTGAAAAAGAGGTTTTTGTCACAGTTTCTCTCACAACATAAATGCATGCAATCGACATTTCAAAGTCTCACTTGTAGAAAAAGTAGAACTTTCATTGAAAGTTGTGGTAAAAAACTGGATATCTTTTCCAGTAATGAAGTTGGCTCCATCGAAATAGCCAAATGTGCTATTTTTAGCACAAATTGTGCATCTCGTTTGACACGCGCGAGGGTGCCGCGCAAAGGATAAACAAAAATGGCGTCGGAAATTACCTCCGTAGGAGATGAATAAATTCCATTTCTTTCTTCATTACCTCCTCTGAATCTGAGGCAAAACCGTGAAGAGAAGCTCTTTGACAATAACCCTAAACGGAGAACTGTGAATGTAATACTGCTCATGTTAAACACGTGAGTGAGAGTGTTTTTGACGAAGATGTGGGAGATATCGTGCGATGAATTTTCCGTTCGAACGAAATAAACAAACAAAAAAACTTGCCGGGAAAAGGAGGGCGGAAAGTTACTACAACAACAACAACTAATAATTATAAGTAACTTTCCTCAAATATATCTTTGAATTCATGATAAATACACTCCACCAGCTTCAAAGAAGGTCTCAATGGGTTGGTGGCGTTTACGGTTATCGAATGAAATTTTGGCTCTTTTACGGCTATCCGTTGTTGTGTTTTTTTTCCAGTTACGGTTAACAAAACAGTTAATTATTAATTTCAGCTCTTTGAAACAAAAGAAATATTTACAATCTTAATTAATCTGTATTTTAGTATCTTTAAAGCAAAATAAATAGGATCATACCCGGATGAAATGAGTTATTCTTTTTTAAAAAAATTAAGATTTCTAAGCATTTTTGTGCAATTTTGCGGCGTAACCAGCGTTGCTAAATAACTTTGTCCTCAACTAGAACCACAAAATGTAATGAGCCAATAAAATTGTTGAACGACCTTCTTCACCCGAAACACTCAAGTGAGTGTCTTCATTTTCACCCATTTCAACTAACCCTGAACAATTAACAATATATTGTGACGGTCACACGTGCCTGACACAAAAAATCTTCAGATACGCATGATACCACGAAGGCTAAGTGTACGCTTCGATAGCGTCTTGTTCCTTCTGCTGAAGCTACTTGGTCCTCTGATCAAGCTTCTCCAACAGTTCATCAATTGTACAGTGCAGTGAGCCTTCAGCTTGAGGTTTCTTCCTTTCACAACGTTTAATCTCCTTTATAAGAGAACTAAATGATGTGAAAGAAAGAAACCTCACGAAACAGCCTCCTCTTGATTTCCTCTCGCGATTTCTTTAGCCGCTGTAATTCTTTTTTCAACTTATTTTCTTTTAACTTTTTCGATCTTTGGCCAGATCGGTGAGATTCTTTTGAGATTTTTCCAACTTCTCTCTCTGGATCTGATTATCCTCTTCCAGCCACTGTCGCTCTGATCGCAGGTTATAAATCACTGCAGCTTGTTGGGCTATGGTAGCATTTTGTTGGTTTACAATTGCTAATAGCTGCTCGTAGCTATATACATCTGTGCCATCCTTAGTCGACGGAAAATTTCAAATTCTTCAGAAGAATTTTTTGGGGAGTAAAAATCACTTCACCACTCTATATAATCTTTCCGTTAAGTTTCAATTTCGTTTTTCTTCTTCCAAAAGTGAGGTTTAATTTAGTGATGTCATAAACAATCCTTGTTGCTAATTTCTTTTGCGCGTGCAAAGGCTATTTATGAGCTGCAATACTAACGGTCAGCACCGGTGCTTTTTTAGACTACTAGTAGTCCCCATTTTTCCTCAGGGATAGTAGAGCGAGGAGCGCGCATGAAATTAATCAACCCACGCGAGAAAGGCGAGACGCGGCTTTCCCTGAGAAAAAATGGGGACTACTCGTAGTCTAGAGCATTTGTGTTTTTAGTAAGCTATTGTCTATTGTGATGTGGGGTCGAGTTGTTTGGTCAGTATTGTTCAGTCTCTCTTCAACGTTTTCGTTTTAGCAACAGGACGGAAACGTCAGTTGGCGAAGGCGTGCGCAACTCATTCAACTGTCTTGACCAATGGCAGAGCGGTAAATTAGGCAGTTGGGTTTAGCCCTTTCCGCACGCTTTCTCCGTCGTTAACTAACGTTTCCGTTCTGTTGCTACATCAGCCTATTGTTAATCGCCCTAGCTTTTAAGCACTAAGCTTTCCATAGCGAGCGAGTCCGCTATCCTCGGCTCCTTCCTGAGAGACCTCTGCTAGCAGGGAAGCTGATGATGAACAAGAGTAGAAAATTAAAATGGCCACAAATTTATGACAGCCCATACTTTCGGAGCTTTTCAAATGGCCTGAACGGAATGGGGGGAACCACAGTGCCATTACAGCTTCGCGAGGTTTTTTTGCCATAAACGTATTTCTAGTAATGCAAATAATGTTTATGTAACACTGGCTCATTCTTCCACTGTGCATGCATTGCCTATCGAGATATGAGGCACTTGAATTGGAAAGTTCAGAGAACACTCAAATAAAGTAGCAAAACGATCGTCCATCTCCTGAAATTTCACACAAGAGCCGCGCAAATTCGCAGGTTCCCGTTCGTGTTTGTGACGTCGATGGTGGTGCAGTTTGTTCTAAAAATAGCACATTTGGCTATTTCGATGAAACCGCGTTGACCCGCGCTTGCGATCTCCTGGTTACACACTTAAGGTGATGTTACACGGGACGATTTGCAAAGACGATTTTTAGCGCAACACAGGATTCAAATGTTGGAACAATATTGCAGCCCTTCGAAACAATGGAACAACAATGTTGTAACGCTGTGTTGCGCTAAAAATCGTCGTTCCTTGTGATATCACCTTTAGCTTCCAATTCTTTATTGTACTACAATCATGTGAGTCGATTCGGCCCCTAGTATACATCGTTTAATCACCAAAAGGAAGATTATATCGATCTAAGTTTTTAGACCGCTCAACTTACTTCAGAAAGGACGGCTGTCAGGCCTGACCATAGTTTCTCGGAAAGATAGCCATGTTTTGTTGGAAACAATGATTTTGAAACATTGATTTTATTTTTACGTTTATGCATGCATTAGCCTTATCCCAGTGTTATCCAAGCTGTATAAATCAACTAATGGAGCAAGCGTCGAAGAAAAAAACTTGGCTGCTTGCTATTTCTAGTGTGAAATATAGAGAAGAACGCGTCTTATAGACTTAAAACGAGGGGGGGGGGGGGGGGGGGGGGGGGAGTTGAGGAGTCCCAAGCTGGCATTTTCCTGGTACAATGACGGTGGGGACTGGTACCAAACTTTTTGTCCCATAATCCTTCTAGGTCATTTAAATTGAACATGGCGGACACAACCACAAATTTGGAAACTCCAAATTAGAAAGAAATGGGTAAATACAGCTCCGATTCTGACGACGATAGACGAAAGAAATACAAGTCTTCCAAGAAACGCGACAGGCGGAGCAGAAGCCGGGAACGACGTAAAAGGTCGCGTTCCCGGGAACGGAAACGAAGTCGATCAAGGAGTAGCAGTTATGACGACTACAGAAGGAGCAGGTTTGGAATTCTGGAACCAACACATTTTTCTGTCGCGTTTCTTTGTTTCCCTGGTAAATAAGAGACTAATTTATGATCGTCTGCTTTTCCTTCTTGATAAAAAAAAATCAGATCAAGTCGAAAAGGTGAGTAGTTGCCGTATAAACTTTTTACGTCTGACAACTAATTATGAAGCACTGATCTGAAATAGTAGAAGAGGGTTGTCAAAAAGATTTCAAGTAGCAGGAGAATAAGGGAAAGAAGCCAGCACGCTGACTCGTCTCCAGTCGTCTCTCATTCTTAGTATTTGGTTTGGAAGACTAAGCGCTTCCCTAGTAAATAATAGGCTGATTTAGCAACAGAACGGGAAAGTCAGTTGACGACGGCATGCACAATTCAAACAACTGGCTTGACTAAGTCAGCCCAATAGGCCGATTTAGCAACAGAATGAATGACGATGGGAAAGTGCGCAGAAAGGACTGAACGTGGCTTCCGGTGCCCAATTTGCAGCTCTGCCATGGGTCAAGTCAGTTGTTTGATTTGCGCGGGCTGTCATCAATTGACATTCCCGTTCTGTTGCTAAATCAGCTTAGTTAATGAGTAGAGACAACTTGGAGACAACTGGGGACAAGTCAGGCCTGCCGGGAGCCAGAGGCCCCCTACCAGGCCAGGAGTCTGGGGGCCGCACACCATTCGGGATAATATCCCTAGTGATATGTGTTTCCCTTGTAGGGGAACACATATGACTTGAGAATATGTGTTTCTGGTTAGGGGAACACATATCACTATTGACGTGTGTTTCCTGGGTAAGGGAATGCTATCATTAGGGATAAGTAGTATGTGTTCCTAGGGAGGGGAAGCACATTTCACTTGGGATATGTAATTTTGGGGTAGGGGAACAAATATCATTAGAAATATGTGTTCCTGGGGTAGGGGAACACACATCACTAGGGATATGAGTTCCCCTACCCATGAAACACATATCAAGTGATATGTGTTCCCCCACCTGGGAAAGATGCCTCTTTAGTGATATGTGTTCCCCTACCCAGGTAACATATATCCGTAATAACAATAATAATAAAATATTTATATAGCGCTTATACTTTTCAGTTCTAAGCGCTTTACATTACTTAAAAAGGTCTGAATAAAAAATAAAAATCCTAAAATCATTACATATATACATATATATATAGTCACAAAAATACAAAATAAAAAAACCTAAGATAGTTCGTAAACTCGTTTAAAAAGAAAGGTCTTCAATTTAGATTTAAACTTATTTACATCATCGATCGATCTAATGTCAACAGGCAAATCCCTAGTGATCCCTAGTGATATGTGTTCCCCTACTGGGGAAACATATATCCCTAGTGATATGTGTTTCCTGGGTAGGGGAATACATATCACTAGGGATATGTAATATGTGTTCCTAGGGAGGATATGTAATTTGGGGTAGGGGAACAAATATCATTAGAAATATGTGTTCCTGGGGTAGGGGAACACACATCACTAGGGATATGAGTTACCCTACCCATGAAACTCATATCACTAGTGATATGTGTACCCCTACCCAGGAAAGGTCTTCCCCTACACGGGAAACATATATCCCTAATGATATGTGTTCCCCTACTCAGGAAACAATCCCTAGTGATATGTGTTCCCCTAACTGGGAAACATATATCCCTAGTGATATGTGTTCCCCTACCAACAATAACATATAGTTGCTGCTATATTTTAAAACTGTCTTAGTTGGGATTTGTGGATTAAAGAATGAGGTATATTACATTATAGCATGCTTGTTTCTGTTCATGTGGATTATAGAACCGAGTTTGTTACATGTATAGCACTGCAGACCACAGTGGCAGGAGTTGTTGAAGAATATTTTAGTAGCCGGGTATTCTTAGTTTAGCCATGACGAGTGCAGTGAGGTAGACAATACCACTGGCAAAACTTTCCCTAGTATTTTTGAACAGTAATTTGGTTTTTTTCACATCCCCTTCGATTTCACTAATGAAAGAAAGAGGAAGGAGGCAAGGCTTTTAAACCTTCACCCTAGTGATCCGATTATCTTAATTGAGACTAGGTCTTAACTTACAGCCAGTGTGATCTTACCAAGACCCTGCAGGTTTGTGGTTCGGCCGGGGTTTGTACCTTTGTCCTCCTGCGCTGCAAACCGGAACTCTTCCCTACTGAGCTAACCAAGCAGCAGTTATTGCAGATTAGTAATCAAGTTTTGTCAACTGCTCCCTGTCAACCACAATATTTTTGTATTCTTTTCAGATCGCAGGTACAGCCGATCAAGCAGTAGCAGAAGCAGTAGTTATTCAAGTGATGAAGAAAGAAGAAGAAGTAGGAAAGATAAAAAGTGAGGGGTGCCTCATATTATTATGTTGCAGTTCAATTTTATTTTTGCATCGAGTGTTCTTTTTCTTTATTTTTATGTCTGGTGATTGATGATATCAAAGAAAACAAGGAAAACAATTCATCCAAGAAGGATAAAATTTAACCAACACATATGTTATTTCAATGATTTTATTGGATGGTTCAGCATGTAGTATCAAGGGACATTTTAACAAGTCACCCTGTACTTTGGTGAGGTGACAGGGCAAGTCAAATGACGCAGAATACTACACACTAATGCCCCATTCGCACCAAGTAGAGATGTTTCATCAAACCAGGTTTTAAAAAACAAAAAACAGACATGGAAAACTCGAACACAGGTCTTCACACAGGATTCAAATGAAATTCAACATGTTTTGCAATTTGCAAAGCCTTATGTCCATGTGATCACCATGCGTGCAATAGCTGAATATAAAAAGTACAGAAAGCTGAATGAGCAAAGCAATGTAGTGATTAGTCATGCACATGAAACCAGGTCAGCCTTTTAACTCCCAGAGGTAACCAAAGTCAAAGGTATTCAACTAAAGTTGAAAATTTCATTTCAGTGAAATGAAATTTTACCAAAGGAATGGTAACACCATATGATTTCATCAACACACAAAAATAATTAGAACCACCTTGTACAACACTTCATCGTTCACTCTGGGTATAAAAGAATTCAAAGAAGACAATGACAGGAAATTGTTTCCATATGAATTCTGCACCTTTTTTTTCATTGACCGTAATGATTCCAGCTATCACATAGGAAAGTGGCTAAACTTGAGAAATTTCTGTATAAGAGAGATGTCAACTATAAGGAGTAAAGAAAGGCAGAGACCAACCCTTGGTGTCCATCTAAAAGAGATATGCCCATCTTATAGAGTGTCAACTAAAAGGAGTAAATAAAGACAGGGACCAACTCTAGGTGTCCATTTAAGAGAGATGTCCGTCTTATAGAAAGTCTACTAAAGGGGGTAAAGGAAGGCAGGGACCAATTTTATTTTTGGTGTCCATCGTAGATAGATGTCTGACTTATAGTCAGAGTCAACTAAATGAGTAAAGAAAGCCAGGGATCATCTTTAGAAGTCCATCTTATAGAAGTGTCTATCAAAAGAGAGTTGACTGTTTTTCCCTGGTTGCACGATAGCAGAAGTATGCCTTACTCTCATTCATTTTGTATTCTTTGTTGGCAAAAGTAAAGGGCATGGTAAAATGCTGTTACAATGACAAAATTCTGATGATGATCCAAGTGCTGGAAAGTGCTAATAAAGTGATATTCAGTTCAACATTATCATTATTATTTTTACAGGAGTTCAACCTCAAGTTCCCAGGTAAGCTTTAAAGGAGCCAGTCCAGCTTTAATTGTCTAACAGTTGAAAATCATACAACATGACATATTATTAAAAGGCAAATGTGAGATTCCTATTGGCAATAATTACAATCATGAATAAAACTTTTGAACAAGTAATGCAAAGCATCATTTTTTTTATTGATGAAATACTATTGGCCGGCTTGATCAACTGGATTGAATCAAACTGTTACCTTATCCCAAGCCCTCTGATCAGATCTGGCCTGATCCAGGTTTTGTTTATGCCTTCTGCATTTCTTTACGTCTTCTCCTTTATCCTAGTAGTACTTTAAGTGAATATTTTTATCATTACATTACATTTGTAAATTTACTTCAATTTTTGTGTTTTGGAATTTAGGCTTCAAGAGAACAAACCAAAAAGAAGATGAAGAAAGCTCTTGCCAAAGCAGGTATTCGTCAGTTTTCTTGCATTGGTTTGATCTTTTTTTGAGATACAGTTAATGTTGAAATATCTGTCGCAGACACTGCACTAAGAGCTTGTTGACTGAAACACAATAATATTTTTTTATTTTTTTTTTCAGAATCTAAAGATGAAGTCTTGAAAAGAGATAAAGCAACCAAAGAATTGAGTATGTTTCCTTTCTTACCATGTTTTTTTTTTCCCTAGAGTGTTTTGATCAATCGTTTCACCCCCAGAAATGCCAAAGTCAAAATATTGTAAAGTTTAGAAAAATAAATACTGTAAACTGCTGCTTATACAGGGGCGGATCTAGGGGGAGGGTACAGGGGGTGTGCACCCCCCTACCTGAGATGACCTGCAGTTTTCTAATACAACTGGTATTCTGCGAAAAAAAAAAACTATGTGGTTTATTGGTGTTGAAGTAGAGCAAGAGACCAGTGCACCCCCTCCTAAAAAAAATCCTGGATCCACCCCTGTTATAAGCCCTCGGCTTATAATGTACATCCTTGTAAGGGGTTTAGGAGGGCTTATAAATGGAGAGGCTTATTTCCGAGGGACTTATAACTTGAACAGAAAAAGCACTTTGAAACAAGCTATAGCATTGCTGATCGAAATACATTTTACATTTACTGGTCTTTAATTAAGCTTCAAAATGTCATGATATAACAAATTCATTTCAATCTAAGCAAGATACGGGCTTGCATCCAGGTTGGATGGGGAGAGGTTTCATTTGAATGGTCACACCTCAGGAATTGATTCATAGACTCAAACATTAAAACTACATACTAAATATCATGGTAATGTGGGGAAGCTTTCCTCAAGACTTTTAGTGGTTTCATTTCAATGGTCATACCACAGTAATTGATCCACAGACTTAAAAGTTAGAACTACCTAATAAAGAAATGAAATAAAGCCAATGTTGGGCTTGACATTTTAAAAACTGATCAAAAAAAAATATTTAAGAATTATTTCAAGACTTGTTTTCAAAATTGGTAAACAACATTGAAAGGAAGGAAGGGAGGTACCAGGGTTATGCAACCCACATTAGGTGCCCTGGATTATGGTTTCAAAATTTTATTTTAAGAAAGAATATATATCAGACCAAGCATATTTATTGAAATTTCGTTTGTAAGACACTTATTCTAATTATTAAAAAATAAGATAATGTTCTTTGAGTAGTAGTGAGCTTAATAATCTTGACTGGTTTATTCAATAGAAAAACTAGCGCCTGACAAAGAGGCCATATTACGCATAGAAAGCAACGAGTTTGTTCCTCAGTCCTTCAGTTCATCTTCTACTTCTAGGGGACAACAGGTGATGATATCAAAATTGTGCTTCTAAAATATTGAAATGTGGCCTCTGTGACTATGGGGGTGGTGGTGGTGGTGGAGATGGGGGACAGGGGGGTGGGGGGGCTTCTCTATTGTACATGTATCTGCAAATACAGTGGAATCCCATCAATACAGTCACCAATGGGCCAAAAAAAATTGGCCATATTAATAGGGTGACTGTATTAAAGAGGGTTTTTTACATGAAAATGTATGGTGGTTTTGCTGGGTGGCCAAAAAAAGTGGCCATAATAACGACATAGCTGTATTACTGAGGTGGCCATAAGGTGGGGTTTCACTGTAGGTATTTGTGATCCCAAAAGGTGTGGTCTTTACCCCCTTTAGCCTGAAATTGGGTGCAGATTTTAGACCTTTGAATATGAATTAGTATGGATTATTTTAAGGTTTTGTGTTTTCTGAAACCAGGGTGTAGAATTAGGTATGTTTTACAGGTCTGAAATAACCAAGGGTCAGCTGAAGGGTTTCACAAATAATATACTCCTTATCTGTCTATTCATTGGCCAACAGCCTACAGCTAACTTTGAAAATCAGTGCAACCTACAGATAAGTTGGTTATGTGCTAGCAGACTAGTGACTAATCTGTAGGTTGTGCACTCAATTCGTGATTTCCAAGAGCAATGTCAAACTGTGTTCCATTTGATGCTGTGTTTGTCCTTATTTTCTTTAAAATAATGTATAATCATACAATTTAGTATAAAATTCGGTTTTTGTGATATCCACAATAATCAAGGTCTCGGTAAGTGTTATCAGCCTCTGCCTTTGGCTTGGCTGATAATTCAACCTTGATTATTCGGGATATCACAAAAACCTCATCCAATAATAAATTATTGTTTATGACATCTGTGAGGCATCTCAAACTTCTCAAAGTAAAAAATCGTGTTTTTTTAAAATTTTTATGTGTCAGAGTGGTGCTAAGAACATAGATGGAAGTCATGAGGAGGCCATGTTTGGAGTTGGTGGATCAATACCTGACACTGCTGGTCAAACTACAGCGCCTGAAGTGAAGATAACATCACAGCCAGTTGTATCACAGTCAGTAGACAAGGAGGGACTGTTTGCCTCATGGGTAAGTCTAGTGTATATACTGTAATTGCTTGCCATAGTGTAGCTGGTGGTCTTGTCAGGGAGGGGCAATGGTGAGAAACCATTTATTTGCACCCTTACCCGGCAAGACCACCAGCTATGAAGGCTACTCAAAATAGCAACCGGTGGCTTGGTTTATTTTTTAACTGAGAAGAGGTCGCTGATTCAAAGAGGGTCACTTATTTGTTCCTCAGAACTTCAGCCTCAAGATGACATTGTCTTTGTTTCAAATGATCAGAACCTAAATCATTATTAAAACTGGAAAAACTTGAAGGTTTTTTTTTGCTAGAAGCCCTCATTTATGTGTAATGAGAGTCGGTGAAACCCCGTTAATACAGCCACTGAAGGAGCCATAAGAAGGGTCAGTATTAACAGGGTGTCTGTATTGTGCTGGTCATGGTATTAAGATAAAAAATACAACTTTTATTAGAACCAAATAATAAAAAATAAAAGTGGACAAATAGAGTCGAAAAAGATTAAACGTTTTTTGAGTGTTTCCGTGGATTTAAACCGTGGAATGACGGCTTTGTGAAATGGTTCTAACTTTTTTGAGTCTGTGGATAAAATCCAAGTGTGACCATTCAAATGAAAGCTGCCGAGCTGTACTCTCCTGTGGTACTGTTTATTATGCTGTGCAAGATGGTTCTAACTACTGAGGTTGTGGATGAAATCTTAAGTGTGACATTCAAATGAAAGCTGCTGAGCAGTACTTTCCTGTGGTACTATTTATTATGCTGCATAAGGGTGTTGTAAATTTAATCTGAAATGTGTTTGAAATCTTTATTTGTGACCATTCAAATGAAAGCTACTGAGCAGTTTTACCATGTGCGTCTAATTTTGTTTATCACGAGAAGATGTTGAAAAAGTTTCCAATTATTCTCTTTGTTTATATCATTTCAGCTTCATGAAGATGAAGAAACTAAGACAGCTCGCTGGATAACCAAGTTAAAAAAGATGCGACAGGAACTCTTGGCAGCCTCATGACTGATATTGTGTATACTGTAAACAGTTCACTTATTTATATTATACCTAAAAAGTAACACTATTTTCTACTTGTTTTTGTGTTCTCTGATGTTGGGTTATGCAGCTGGTTTGTTTGGGGATTTATAACAACCCAAACAATTTTTACAGGTCCCAGATCTCCTAATTCCCGCAGGCCTTGTAGTAATCCGAGTAATCCAAGATTTCGACAGGCCCTTGTGGGTAAAATGAATAAAATTCCCAAACCCTTTATTGTAGTTATTGAGGGGAGTGTGCATGTGGGACACACCCATTGACCACAAAAAAAAAAGAAACAAGGCTATTATCCAGCCATCGTGACCGAATAAGTTTGTTCAATTAAGGATCGAGATATTTTTCTCTTTACGAAACCAACGCGGGAAATCCCGAGCAGTAAAGAGGACCGTACGCCCGCTCGGTGGGTAGCCAATCAGAACACAGTATTCGCTTCATCTTTTCCGCTCGAGCAAGTAGCCATATATATTAAAAGATCTTCTTCCGGTTCTGTGTTGATCAATCTTTGTAAAGTCTTGAAAAGCTCTTGAACTTCTGCCACCGTCTTCAAAAGAACTTGAATGTCACTTGAGTACTTTTAAATTTTAGGTAACAGTAAATTTCCTTTTCGTTATTAATGGAGAGCGGTAGTAAACATACGTTGATGCCTTATCACAATTCATACATTTTGTTCACTAAAGTCAATTTTGGCCTTGTTTCAACGTTTGTAGAAGGTATGCGGTGCCCCACTATGTGCCTTGCTGTGAAAGGGGAGTTAGGTTTGAAACATTTACGCCAAACTCTTAACTTCACCTTCCTTTGCCCTGTCACGTTTGTCGCACACAATCATTTTGCCGTGCTCTTCTTAAGAGGAGCAAGGCTTGCGCAGTGGTGAGAACACTCGCCTATCACCAATGTGGTCAGGTTTCAAATCCCGGCGTCGATCTCATATGATGGTTGAGTTCAAGTTGTTGTTGGTTCTCTCCTTAGCTCCAAGAGGTTTTTCTCCGGTTTTCTGGTTTTCCCCTCTCCTCAAAATCCAACACTACCCAATTCCAGCTCGGACACGTTTAAACGAGTTAAGTGCTAAGTGGGTGAACAAATATGCAATTTACACAATTACAATATCGTCATCGTGTTGCGTAAGCTCGCTATTGTTAGCATGGGTAAATGCGTATCTCTAATAGTTAAAGCCATGCGATAAAGGTCTTGAAAATTACTTCAGAGGCCCTGAAACGTACCGGAATTTTGATCGGCATTTTCTGTGCAAACCATGATTTTCCTTGCGCGTTTAGCACTACCCTTCAAGCAAACTCTCGAATTGGGGGCGGGGATTGGAAAAGAAAACCCCTTTCGCTCCCCTAACCACCCAACTTTACTCGCACTGACGCTCTCTCCCCATCCTCTTTTATGATTTTGTTGTTGGAGCCGGCGCGATGTTCGAAAACTGCTGACGCCTCAGACTTGTAATAACTGCTAAAATAATTGGTAATTTAGATTCTCTGACGACCTCTGAAGTGTAGCATAATGGGGCTTAATCCCTTTCATGGGATACATCCCACTACACGTAAGCGACTATAGTCTCCTGCCAGAGTCACGTAATGCTCCCCGCCCCAACGCAGCTGCTCAAATGCGTGACTCCGGCCTGAGCGGCTCCGAAGGAGACTAGAAATACTAGAAAGGGTGCTAGACTTACTGACAATGCGTGATAATGTCATCATAAATGACGATTCATTTAAGAACTAGTCTACTTCGCAGCCGTTTTTTGTCGCCAGGTAGAATAACGTGAATAAAAGGCGTGACATAACCAGAAGTGACGTATGGGATCGATACTTGCGAAACTACTTCCTGTTCCACACTTGTGAAAGCACGTTTCACTGAGAGGAGGCCTGTCATTTTTATTCTCTCTGAAGTTGAATTTGCAAGCAAAAAAGAAGCAGAATGTTCCCAATTTATTGGCTTGCGGTGAGTTTGTTAACATTCGGATCAAGTTTAGCCCAGAAGAAGATGTGCTCCAAAATATTCTTTCAGAATGTTAATGAGGACTTGATGCCGTGGATACAGGTCCAGGGAGTCTACGATCTCTTCTCAGAGAACAACAACTTTCCCGTCTATCTGAACAAACCGTCTGGTCTGTTCTTTTACTATGCTGATGGAAAAGAAGACAATGTAAAGGTTTTGTTGTTTGGTCATAAAATCGGTGAAATTTATGGCTTAGCTGCTCAACTGGCTCCTGACTTCGATCCGACGACTTGGCTCTCTTCTGGAACACTAAACAAGAATGATTTGTTCGGTGATATCGTGAAGGTATGGATGTACTACTCCCCACTTGATAAATCTTACAAAAAGATAGAACGAGGACCTTACATTAAAGCTATTTGCGTAGATGATGATTATTTTCAATGCGATTCGGGGAAACTTTACTTCAATGACACTATAACCGGAAGTGGAGGTGAAGTTCTGAATGATCCTCGAACAGACTATTTCGCAAAAGTACCTGGAGGATACAGGTCCGTGAGACCTGTTCTGCGGCATAGCCGTCAAAATTGGTATTTATATTACCGCAATGGCTATTGGATGGTTGGAAGCAGTTATTCAAGTCCAAACGGCGATTATTTTCGCGTTCGAGACTTGGCACTGAGACCGGAATACATCACACATGACTGGGAATATTTGAGTGGATCGGAATGGACTACGGTTAGTGGACTAAGGATCAAATGTCGTGGAATCGCCAATGGTGTGAACAAGTGCCATGGAGCCTCAAGATGTACGAACAGGGGTACTTGTGTTTACACTACAGGCAACGAGACTGTTTGTCTTTGTGAGGATAGCGCCTACGGGGCAGCTTGTGAAAGCCGCCAACTGTGCTCCGATCCTGGGGTTCCAGATTCGTCGGTCTCCGTCGCGTATACAGGAAAGCGTCCGGGAGATATCGCGACTTCGTTTTGCGTGACAGGGTACATATCCTCACCTACGGAGTTTTACATCTGCGAACAAGATAAAGGACGCAAAAGTTGGATGCTAGAATCTCAGCAAACATGTCGTCCGCCAAGCCCCGTGACTGTTAATCCGGAAACCAATGCGCCGAAAACAGTACCCCCGAGACCGTATCCCACGGAAATTACTATCTCTCCCGATGGTGAAGACACACCGGAGCGTTCGGAGGGGTTTATGATATTTGTCATTGCCTTCTTTGCCTGTCACGTTCTTTGTCCCGTTTTTATATGGTTGGCTATAATTTTGACTACGTTTGCGCGCTGTTGTTCACGTACCCAAGTAGGAACCCCTGAGCGCTCGAAAGCTGTAGGAAAGATCATGGACACTCGTTATATGTTAATGGTGCGCACTTTTTCCGCCTTTTTCAACTTCGCTTTCTGGGTGTGGTTTTGCTCTGTCTGTGTTTGCCTGTCTACACATGAAGAAGGTAGTGCCTATTCCCCACTCTTCTACTGGGCAGTGGCAATGTGTGGTTTTTGTGCACTTTTTGTGGCAATTGAAGCGTTCTTTTCCGTGGAGAGAAAAGGCTTGAGTCGCATTATCACATGGGAATATATTCAGTCCCTTCACAGAACACCTCCTGTAGTCGAGATGCAGATTGAGTGGTACAATTGGCAGACATATCGTTACGCTGAGTACAGTACTAACCCTGCGACGGGCCGCAGAGAATATCAAGGAACAAGGGAGGAGACGGTGAAAGTAGGAAGAAAGCCCCACAGTGAACCTTTTTCGTACACATCCTGGACAGATCAATCTCAGCAAGAAATTCAGTGTGAGGGACAAATCCTCAGAGTTAAGATTTCCCTAGATGTCTCTATGGACGCTGTAACCTCCCGTTTTTTCGAAGCACAGAAGTTTGCCCTTGTGGAAAAAACGCAACATTTGAATAAATTTTACGACTTTTCACGAAAAGATAGTTTACCCGACCTTCATACAGATGTCGTTTTATGCCCTAATAAGGATTCTGTGCCTCCCTGGATGAACGAGATATTCTTCTGGGGTGCTACACTGCTTCAGTTATCTTGGGTTTACAGATGGTTGTTCATCTCGCGGACGCGTTCCGTGGAATATACCCTCAAGAAGAAGGTCTTCTGCGCTGATTCTCCGAGCTCAACCAGACTGGCGGGTTTCCAACAGGCTAATACGGAAAATTTTTCTGTCAAAACCGGTTTTATGTCGTCAGAGCAAGAGTCTGCTGCAGTAAACCAACCCTTAATCAAATGTGACCACAACAGCTCGCAAAATTACATGTCAGTCTAAATCTGAAGACCAGAAGCCTCCATTACATTTTAAAGTACGACTTACTGTCTGTTCCTTGTGACCAAGGGCTCTGGGATCGTTGGTGATCCAGACTTGCTGGCCACAGGACAACCATCCTTTGTTGAACCAATTAGCTGTTCTTCTCTTGACTAATGCTTTAAAGGCTCGCAGGCTACCCAACAACAGATAAGCAAAGCCGCATGTAGATAAAGAAAGATCGAAAAAAAGAATAAAAAAACTTATTCGAACCTCAATCCTTTATCTCTCAAACAAGACAACATCATGGGATATTCAGAGGTAGAGCGATTTTCGTATGACCTTGAAATGAAAACGCGCGAACAAGACAGAAACAACAAACAAACGGAAATAGAGCGATTTCATTGGTTGATCGAACGGCTACAAACGCGCGTGGCTTTTGGTTGGTTAAGCGAACGCTCGGGGTGAAAAAACTTCATGCCCGAGATATTCTAGAAATCAACGCATACTTCGCTTTGACGTCATACTGCAACACGATTGGCCAATCGAACAATGCCTTCTCCGTATCAGGGTTTTCTTTGGCGGGAAAACGAAGAGTCCATGTTTTGATGCTTTCATCCATTGGCTGATAAAACAAATAACGAACACTTACCGGAACCATTTTTTATGGTTATACGAAAATCGCTCTATGTCAGTGGCCTCAGGGATACTCCTATATAAAAGCGATGGGGATGCCTGTCGTCTCTCTTTAAATGGGTAGAAATTGTAGAGTTTAGTCTCGCTAAGTGTGCTCAAGGACAAAAAGCCAATATTTTTACCAATAAAGGTATCTCTTAAGGCAAGAGAGGATGATTTCAACCAATCTCATCCTCAGTGCGTAAAGAAATACTTTGATATAACAAACAAACACTGTCATACTGTGTTGAAACTGATGTAGTCTCCCTTGTCAAAGAAATCCTGAGACAAGCTCAAATTAATTTCGTTTAGGGGTTTAATTGTAATTGTCTTTTGACGCATCCCTGTCCCTGTTATATGGGAGTCCCCCCGGTCTCAATGGGTCAGGATTTTTAGCGCCCAGCTTCAAATAAGCGCCCTGCTTCGAATTAGCGCCCCCTTCCCCCCTCCCCTCCCCCGAGGAAAAGCGAGGTTAAGTACTCGGTACAATGTACGAGACCCGTATACGGCACTTTTAAGGAATTTGACGTTCGTAATAGTACAACATTAATGTTCTTCAAATTCGTTGCTTCTCATTTCCTCGATAGAAATATACACGTGAGCACATAGGTGCTTCGTCTTGAGAACGTTTCAAGTTTCACAAAAAGTAATTTTCCGTAACGTTTTTTGAATTTTTATATCTTACACTGAGTTTGGTTAACGAGAAATAAACATAGTGTCATTTTGAGGCAAAAAAATTGATATACGACATTGGGGTGTGTCAACATGAGCCGTGGGCGGCCCTCTTTATTATGTCTTTAGAAGGAAAGTCCGCGATAAGAAGTTTACAAACATGTAGAAAGTCTAAAAATTTGAAAATACAACAAGAAAACAACTAATAGCCCGTTTTACAGTTACAGGTGGAAACAAGGTTGGAGTTCACCTTGTTTTGATACAAACCTCTCTGCTATATTATGTGAATCATGTTGTTCTTATGCTAATTAGTATTTTTAAGCTCAATTTCCGTAAGAAAAGGAAGGAGTTTGTATCAAAACAAGCTCAGCCTCACATTCACTCAGTGGCAAGGATACTAAGCCCACAACTGTAAAATGGCCTATGAGAGACTACAAGCTAATCTGTACCATGCTCTTATGACAATGATACAATAAAGGCGCTGAATCTTACACATGGTGGCTTGTAAATACGTATGTGAAAAACTGATGGGAATATATTCAGTCCCTTCACAGAACACCTCCTGTAGTCGAGATGCAGATTGAGTGGTACAATTGGCAGACATATCGTTACGCTGAGTACAGTACTAACCCTGCGACGGGCCGCAGAGAATATCAAGGAACAAGGGAGGAGACGGTGAAAGTAGGAAGAAAGCCCCACAGTGAACCTTTTTCGTACACATCCTGGACAGATCAATCTCAGCAAGAAATTCAGTGTGAGGGACAAATCCTCAGAGTTAAGATTTCCCTAGATGTCTCTATGGACGCTGTAACCTCCCGTTTTTTCGAAGCACAGAAGTTTGCCCTTGTGGAAAAAACGCAACATTTGAATAAATTTTACGACTTTTCACGAAAAGATAGTTTACCCGACCTTCATACAGATGTCGTTTTATGCCCTAATAAGGATTCTGTGCCTCCCTGGATGAACGAGATATTCTTCTGGGGTGCTACACTGCTTCAGTTATCTTGGGTTTACAGATGGTTGTTCATCTCGCGGACGCGTTCCGTGGAATATACCCTCAAGAAGAAGGTCTTCTGCGCTGATTCTCCGAGCTCAACCAGACTGGCGGGTTTCCAACAGGCTAATACGGAAAATTTTTCTGTCAAAACCGGTTTTATGTCGTCAGAGCAAGAGTCTGCTGCAGTAAACCAACCCTTAATCAAATGTGACCACAACAGCTCGCAAAATTACATGTCAGTCTAAATCTGAAGACCAGAAGCCTCCATTACATTTTAAAGTACGACTTACTGTCTGTTCCTTGTGACCAAGGGCTCTGGGATCGTTGGTGATCCAGACTTGCTGGCCACAGGACAACCATCCTTTGTTGAACCAATTAGCTGTTCTTCTCTTGACTAATGCTTTAAAGGCTCGCAGGCTACCCAACAACAGATAAGCAAAGCCGCATGTAGATAAAGAAAGATCGAAAAAAAGAATAAAAAAACTTATTCGAACCTCAATCCTTTATCTCTCAAACAAGACAACATCATGGGATATTCAGAGGTAGAGCGATTTTCGTATGACCTTGAAATGAAAACGCGCGAACAAGACAGAAACAACAAACAAACGGAAATAGAGCGATTTCATTGGTTGATCGAACGGCTACAAACGCGCGTGGCTTTTGGTTGGTTAAGCGAACGCTCGGGGTGAAAAAACTTCATGCCCGAGATATTCTAGAAATCAACGCATACTTCGCTTTGACGTCATACTGCAACACGATTGGCCAATCGAACAATGCCTTCTCCGTATCAGGGTTTTCTTTGGCGGGAAAACGAAGAGTCCATGTTTTGATGCTTTCATCCATTGGCTGATAAAACAAATAACGAACACTTACCGGAACCATTTTTTATGGTTATACGAAAATCGCTCTATGTCAGTGGCCTCAGGGATACTCCTATATAAAAGCGATGGGGATGCCTGTCGTCTCTCTTTAAATGGGTAGAAATTGTAGAGTTTAGTCTCGCTAAGTGTGCTCAAGGACAAAAAGCCAATATTTTTACCAATAAAGGTATCTCTTAAGGCAAGAGAGGATGATTTCAACCAATCTCATCCTCAGTGCGTAAAGAAATACTTTGATATAACAAACAAACACTGTCATACTGTGTTGAAACTGATGTAGTCTCCCTTGTCAAAGAAATCCTGAGACAAGCTCAAATTAATTTCGTTTAGGGGTTTAATTGTAATTGTCTTTTGACGCATCCCTGTCCCTGTTATATGGGAGTCCCCCCGGTCTCAATGGGTCAGGATTTTTAGCGCCCAGCTTCAAATAAGCGCCCTGCTTCGAATTAGCGCCCCCTTCCCCCCTCCCCTCCCCCGAGGAAAAGCGAGGTTAAGTACTCGGTACAATGTACGAGACCCGTATACGGCACTTTTAAGGAATTTGACGTTCGTAATAGTACAACATTAATGTTCTTCAAATTCGTTGCTTCTCATTTCCTCGATAGAAATATACACGTGAGCACATAGGTGCTTCGTCTTGAGAACGTTTCAAGTTTCACAAAAAGTAATTTTCCGTAACGTTTTTTGAATTTTTATATCTTACACTGAGTTTGGTTAACGAGAAATAAACATAGTGTCATTTTGAGGCAAAAAAATTGATATACGACATTGGGGTGTGTCAACATGAGCCGTGGGCGGCCCTCTTTATTATGTCTTTAGAAGGAAAGTCCGCGATAAGAAGTTTACAAACATGTAGAAAGTCTAAAAATTTGAAAATACAACAAGAAAACAACTAATAGCCCGTTTTACAGTTACAGGTGGAAACAAGGTTGGAGTTCACCTTGTTTTGATACAAACCTCTCTGCTATATTATGTGAATCATGTTGTTCTTATGCTAATTAGTATTTTTAAGCTCAATTTCCGTAAGAAAAGGAAGGAGTTTGTATCAAAACAAGCTCAGCCTCACATTCACTCAGTGGCAAGGATACTAAGCCCACAACTGTAAAATGGCCTATGAGAGACTACAAGCTAATCTGTACCATGCTCTTATGACAATGATACAATAAAGGCGCTGAATCTTACACATGGTGGCTTGTAAATACGTATGTGAAAAACTGACAATCATTGGGTATTTAATTTTGAGGGCGTAGGGACGGTCGAATGACACGAATGAATATAAAATGAAAGCACCACACATAGATACACTAGCCCTCCACTAATGAACAATTGTTACAACATACCATGCAACACCTACCCAAAAAGGTTACGTAACCCATTATGAATACATTTCTTTCCGATTGGCTGCGCAGACAGCCTGTGCCCGAGGATGGCGGGAGAGGCAAAGTCTAGAACTAAATTAGCTTAGGTCAATTAATGTAACGCCAGAATCTATTTAGACATAACCTGCGGTGATGCAGCTATAAAAAAAATTAACATTTTAATTAACAGTGCTGCGGAGGTTTCTTAGAGGACTGTTTCTTTCAAATTACGTAACGTGCATATCTACAGATTATTTATGAAGAGACAAAGAGTGAAGAGTCCCCTGGGAAAACAAAACATCTAGCTTAAAAAATCATGTATTTAAGTTAACATTGAACGGCGAGTCTTGCCAGTGCTCAGGGGCACCCAACGTCAATTTTCAGAAAATATCTGTTAGGAAGACGATTTGAGATCTAGAATTTTCGGAACATTTGTTGTAAAAT